CTTCAGTTGATCGAGACGCTGCTCAAGAAGCTCGTTTCGCTCCTTAAATTATTCACTTCCATCCCAGAATCCTTCTCAAGTTATGAATACAATACCTCCGATGGCATCAAAGCTCATCGAAGCTGTAGGTTTAATGAATAATCGCTCATTCTAACCACATGAACGGGATAATAAGTTTTCACGAAGGTTTCCTTTGAAGAAAATTTTCATCGACTCGTCAAAAAAATTCTGAAGAAATTTTTCGAGTTATTCTTAAGCATAGAAACAACATGAAAGGCATTGTAATGTTTGAATAAGTCAACAGCAAAATGCTTTAAAAAGTTGCTCATGATCAGTGATGGAGAAGATTACGTTGACATGAAAGATTACGTAGTTTACGTTGAACGATAGCTTACCTTAAAGGTATTGCGATCAACCTCCAGACTTTTTCGTGTCTTTTCGGATTGTGTAATGCTCTGCTGAACTTTTTTCAGTTCGTCAATGAGTTCAGAGTTCTCCTGTCGTAACTCTTCACGTTCGTTACGGAACTTCTCAATCTGCTTCTCCAAATCGCTCTTCTCTTCTATAGCGCTCTGTAGTTGACGATCTTTCGCGACTGCTGATGCTTCCAACTCACGCGCCTGAAAATTTGAATTTTTGAATCGTTGGAATAGCAATACAAATGATGCAAGCAAATTTCCATTCAGACATAAAATACTATTTGGAAGAAACTTCGAAACGGTATAAGACCATAATATGTTCACTGATCATTGTCAGTACTTATTTGTCACTGATTTCTTCAAAAGCTTGTTAGATAGCCGAAAATTCACTTCGAGAGTGAATTAAACCGAATAGAACTATGCAAAACATCTTTTATAGATTTGCCAACGTACCTTCTTATCGAAATCACTTTTTACTTCTTTCTGAAAATCCGCTTGGAATTCAGAGAAATTCTTCCGCGCTTCATGAAGTGATTGCTGCGCTGAATCTCTCTCAGATTTGACAATCTCGTACATTTCACAGGCCTGAAAAAAGC